GCCTGGATATCTCCATTACCAAGCTGTTTTATTGCGTTTAGTTGCCTTCGCATAGTTACCCGGCAAGGTGCTTACCTAACCTCAGCATGGCTTGCCCGGTATCCCCACCAAACGCATACAAGGCAGAGCAGTTGGTGGTGTTTTTGACATCGACAGTCGATCTTTGTTTTCTTAACGGCCAAGTCTCTGCACTGCATAGCAGAACTTGCCGAATAACTGTAGTCTACACTCAACCCGTCACAGACGGTCGGATGTTGTGATGACCCCAGAGATCTTTTAGGTCAGCAGACGCCAATCGAACCTTTTGTATGATAGTGCCAAAATTTCATCTCTGATGCGTCCGCCAAGTGAGGTGTAGCTTACCAAATGGCACAAACCTAATCCTTTTGCAACATTTTACACTTGGTACAAACCGCATACTGGACATGAGTAAACTAGAACTCCCGTCACGACGAGACTGTACCTTGAAGTGTTGTGATGGCGTTTGTGCCTTCATGACCCTGCGAGCTACACAGGATGGATCCTCACTGCTGCAGGCCTAATCGTACCTGAAAGATCAGTGGTTAGAGGCCAGAAACCGCTCAGTATCACAAAGCTAGCAGCTTGGGCACCTGACTTCCTTTTTCTATCCACTCTCGCATCTGGAGAGGTCACTCCAGCAAATAAGTACGGTGAGGGACTGTTTACCGGTCAAAAACTGCAAGATGGACGCAGGATTAGGGTACCTGGGGCTGCCTCTGGACGATGGGCAAAGTCTTCACGCTTCGTTGGACGGCTACCACCGACCCATNTGGGCAGCCCCCAACCAATAAGATGAATTCCCGTCTGCCTTCCGCTTGTCTCGGTGCATGAGACTAAGGGCGATTTCCGACAATCAACGCACCAACGAACAACACAATGAGCCGAAACCCGAAGGCCTTGCGTGGCAGGTCTCTAGAAGTTCCAACACTGGTGCTTCGGTCGCTCTCCCGCGTTGGATCTACGCTCCACTGCTATGTGGGTCAGAAGTTAGTCAAAGGCTCCGGTTAGCGTTAGCAAAGAAAAACCCCTTCATCGGTGTGGGCTACCGCGAAGTATGTTGTGCCCTCAAGCCTTGGGTACCCAGTTGGATAAACTCCTTTTCAATCTGTCTTGTTCGTCCTCGATTCCGAATAATCTCAGATACCTCTTGTTTACGCCACCTATCGGACATCGTGCAGAGTTTTACTGGTAGGGCCAAACAATCAGAAGTTAAGATTTTTTGAAGCCAAAATTCCCTTTCCACTTGGGTGCGTTCAACGACAGTACACTGCCAGATCGGTGAGCAAGCTGCAATAGCCAGAATCCCTGAACCGTTCAATTTAAACGTATGTTGTCTCCGAAACACGCATACAAGACCCTACTTCGATCATCTCCCTGCGTTCTACAGATCCAACCTCATCCTCACGCTTCACTCTCTGTGTCAAGCGATTCGGCGTCCGAAGCTCACGGTGTTTCTGGTGTTGGAATTGCGCTAAGTGCCAAGGACCAGCGCTCGCTTCTTGACCGGATTCCGGTCATTAGCCGACTGTGCACTGTGCCTCTCAACGGTTCAGTACGGGTAAACGGCTACAAAACGATGCGTCTATGCTTATTCATCTCGCCGGCGTATGCGCCGACCGATTGGAGTACACCTGAAATCAAGGATGAATTCTGCTGGAATCTTTCTCAATTTCTCCAAAGTGTCCGATCAACAGACGTAGTGGTCGTCGAGTGGGACACTTGGACGAATCAGAAAGGCTTCTCGGTGGACCACATGCAATCCACACCAACCGGACGGACAACGGAGATCGCGTATTTCAAATTTGTGCGGACCACGGATTGTTCCTTTCAAGCACCAACTTCTCGCACAAGAAACGACATCGCCTTATGTGGAAACCGCTACTCTCTTCACAGCGATGGACCCAGATCGACCAAATTGCCATCAGTTACCGCTGGAGGGGATCCATTCTAGAATGCGGCTCTCATTGGTCAACACATGTGGATACTGACCCCGATTTGTTACGAGCCCAATTCTCCTTACGCCTGGCAAACAACCGCAATGAATCCACTGGCAACCAATGCCCACAATACAATGCCAGCGATAGTTGCAAATCGGCCTTCGAAGCGGAGCTCTCCGATCGCCTGTCAATTCAACCACCAGCGGAAGGACTCAATGAATACTGGAAGCAAATCAAGGAAGCTATTCAAGGTGAATTCTGGAGCAAACTCAAACACAAACGATGGTTCTGGTCGACCTCAGCGGCTCCACTGGACGCTCGCAGAACCCTTCTGATGCTACGTATGGCAACGCGCAGATCCCTTGAACGTCAGCTCATCAAGAGTCTGATGAATGACCTCGAGAAGTAGTGGATACGAAAATGTACAAAGGTGGGGAAAGCTTCGATCATTGGTAATAGTCTAAATCTTTTCCACCTTGTTAGGAATACGGACCCCAGTGAAATAGGCATGAGTGAAGTAATTAAGGAATCCGATGACATACTGATTCATCAGCAACAGCGTCTTGATCGATCGGCTGAACATTTCGAGGTTCAATTCAATCAGACCCCCTTCGACATCTGAACTATCACCTCGTCCTACGCCTGGGTAAATGCTCCCACCTGTAATAGAGGTTACCTGGTAAGTAAGCTATATCAGAAGGTATAAGTCCTCCAGCTCAGATGGGCTGTCCCCATCAGTGTTTAAAAATAGAGGTTCAGCCTTGGTTTTGGAATTAACAAAACACCCGTAATCAGTGTGGGAGAGGGAACAGATTACAACCAAATGGTGTGAATCGGTCNTTTGAGGCTCATTTCAACCGGCCCCGTTTGACATCTGAACTATCATCCCCCACCTTTTTGAGCAAATACTCCCAGTTGATGCCAGTCCTCCACCTGTAATAGAGGTTACCTGGTAAGTAAGCTATATCAGAAGGTATAAGTCCTCCAGCTCAGATGGGCTGTCCCCATCAGTGTTTAAAAATAGAGGTTCAGCCTTGGTTTTGGAATTAACAAAACACCCGTAATCAGTGTGGGAGAGGGAACAGATTACAACCAAATGGTGTGAATCGGTCATCACACCGATTTACAAGAAAGGTGACAGGTCCTCCTGTGAAAACCACAGAGGAATTAGTTTAATCAACATCGTCTCTAAACGTCTCGCTGGCATCATACTCCGTCGATTGTATGCCGCACATGAAGAGTGCACGCGTGAGAACCAGGCTGGTTTTAGACCTGGTCGAGGCTGTATCGATCACATCTTCACTCTTCGCCAAACTCTGGAGCACCGACATTCCTTTCATAGACCCACCATCTCTGTTTTCGTCGATCTGAAAGCGGCTTTCTACTCAGTCGACCGCTCTAAACTCTGGTGCCGTCCTTATCTGAAGGGTGTGCTCGAGAAGTTTATTTCAATATTACAATCGCTCTATGGTAATAGCCAAAGTCGAGTCCTAGCTTACATCACTAATTTACATGAGTTCACCACGGAAAGTGTTGTTCGTCAGATTTGTCCTCTGTCTCTCTTCCTTTTTCTATTTTACTTGGTGGATTTGATTATTGGAACAGCCCTATCCTCGTGCGAGGACAGTGGCATCGATTTGCTCCCAGATGAAAGACTGTTTGATCGGGAGTATGCAGACGACATTGTGCTGTTAAGTGAAGATCCAGGTAAGTTGCACGCTTTTCTGGATAGTTTGGGCACCAGCGTAGCCATGTTCAGTATGCGTTTTGCACCTTCAAAGTGTAAAATGCTACTGCAAGACTGGGTTGACCTGCACCCAGCCTCATTCCAACTGGGGGAAGTAAGTGTCAGTTCGCACACGGAGAGCTCGTTTGGCATTTTCCAACCTGAGACATCTTTGGTACCGGTGCGACATCCGGCTGTTCGGTCGGTTCTGCCATACGGCGCAGAAACTTGGCCATTGAGAAAACAGGATAAAGATGGACTGTCGGTGTTCGAACACCGCTGTCTACGCAGTATTGTACGAATCTGGTGAGGCAACCGGACGAGCAATGCTGAGGATAGGCGCAGAGTTTTGGGTAAATGCGGTCGCCCACTGGAACAAATGGTCGACCTCAATAGATAACGTTGGTTGAGGCATATGTTACGCATGTCACCAAATAGGTTACCACGGCAAGCGATGTTCGCCGAGACAGGTAGTGGGTGGAAAAAAGCCAAGGGTGGTCAAGCTGAGACCTGTCACGAGGGTATGAAATGCCTAAACAGTAGACTTGTTCACATGTCTCGTTAAGCTCCCTCGCTGAGGACCTCGGGATCATTGCAATTTATTGCTGGAGTTCCGCCAACCAAATTTGGTGTTGACCATCGCCACCGCATTTTTGTGGTTTATACGCCTCTTGGTAGATTTAGAATCAGGGTTTCTAGCCCTCTTAAATTGGTCACCTGACAGTGGTTTACCTACCCAGATTTTCACTTTTTTTTCCTCTCCCGTACAAGAAGGCAGTGAATAGGACTTCCTCAGCAAAGACTGTTTGAGACGCCTAGTCGTGTGGTAGCATGTGACGAGGTGCATAAGAGAGGTAACCAGCACCAACCAAATGCAGCCACCCACTACCATGCTGAGGCTGTCGGAGGCAATTTGATTAATTGTTGCTAGAACGATTTTTAATAGCACATCAGCTGCATCTACGAGTGAATATCTTCCAAATAGCGTTGAATGTTTTCCGATAAGTTGCATCGTTATCTATGCATTTACTAAAATTGTGAGTATTCTGTGAGACTTCTGGTATTTTATCTTATTCAATTAGAGATCTTTCGCCGTATTACTTTGGACACTACACTTCTATACACTACAATGAAAGTGTTTATTTGTTCCCTAGATTCAGTGAGTATGCGCAGACGGAATTTCCTTTTTTAATCTCTAATTCCCAATACGATATGTTCCTTTCTGTGCCTTAGTTTTTTCATTTGTTGTTGCACCGCAAAATTCAAGCAGAACTGACTGTTGCGCTTCCTAACACGAATATATCAATGCATTTTAGTGATTTCCAAGGACCAAATTAACTCCACGTCATTGGCGGTCAAGCCAACGCAAGATACGGAACCCGTACGACTGGCCGAGGCTCTGTCGCAAAAGTTGGACTTGACTGACCAATCCAAAGATCAGGCGACGCCTTTGCGCCCAGTAGCCGGTTCGAGTAGTATAACTGCCAGTCCGAGTAAACCAATTGATCGAAAGCAGTTGATTGCTGAATATCGGGAGCGATGCAAGCAAGATACTGAGAAGGACGTGATCAATTTGATTGTTCTCGGTAAGTAGAACATTGTGTATTAAACAACTAAAAACGCCATTCCTACTTCGATCGCTCTTTTTAATTATCCACGTAGACGTGTCTGAAACGCTCCGACTACATGATAATTCGAACATGAACTGTAAAACAATGTGCGTTTTGTGATATATCACAGTGGGTCTCGCAAAAGAGATAAAATTCCCCGGTGAACTCTATGCTGATTTGAGCGAATTTTTTTTCGACCAATATCGGGATCGAATAAACGTATTAGCGGTAGTACAGAAATTTCTTGCGTTTAGTGAATCGTAGATATTCAGAGCTACGTCAAAAATAAAAGCGAAATCGAAAAGGATATCAAAGCCGATGGCCGATCAGTCAGTCTACTATTCTCTTTGTCAGTGTTCTGATTAACTTTTGGGTATTTTTTCCCTGTTCACCTTGTTGATCTTGAACTGAGTAGTCAGTCAAGTGCCTTTATTAGGTACACCTTTTTGGCGCAGATTTACGTGAGGAACAACAAGTGGAAATCTCATAGTCACTAAAACCTATTGTTTACTTATAGGAACCGGCAACCTTAGCCCTGGGACTTGGAGTCGCAAACTACATAGATCTCTTCTTACCATATGCATAACGTTATGCCTAACGGCAGCGAAGAAGCCTACCACTCGTTCTGGTAGCAATTAATAATTGTGCATTACGTTGACCTGATGCTGATAACCGCCATCACGACGAGACTGCACCTTTACGTGGTGTGATACCTTGTGCACCTCTCTGACCCACATATAGGATGGCTTTTGTCAAACCGAAGATCTAATCATGCCTGGAAGGTCGAAGGCTAGAGGTCAGACAAAGTCACACCGGTGCCAGAGATGCCACAGATTAAGAAACGCTAATCTAGATTTGATTATGCGGTGAGAGATTTCCTCACCCACACTTCCGCCAACCGTTATGAAACTCCGGAGGTAGACAAAGCTTTTGATAGCTTCCAGATTGCGGTTACCCAATGAAAGTTCAGGAACGGGTTCCTGCCAATCTTGCAACAACACCTTGCACGTCATAAGTGTAAAGGGCATACTATAACGAACAACCTCAATTGCCAAACGATTCAGTAAGTCTTGCATCGTCGGTGCTTTGTCACCGTACAAGGCATTATCATCGACATACTCTAAATCTACGGCTCTGTCCCAAGGAAGGAGCTTGAAGCCAGCGTCCGCACATCCGTAACGCTTTTTGTAGAAAATAATCTTTGGCAAAGTTGAAGCGAAACGGAGAGATAGGGCAACCCTGTCGTACCCCGCTGGTGACAGGAAATGAGGGTGAAAGTTCACTATGGGCCTTAACCTTCTCGAAATCTGTTAGTAAAGTGCTTTTAGAAGCAAGACAATCTTCTCGGGTACTCCATATCTTAGCAAGTAGTTTCACCAGTCAACTCCACAACTATAGTAAACGTGAGAAACAGCTGTGGGCTAACCGCTTTTTGGTTGACAGCTCATGTATACCTTGCTAAATAAAAATAGAACGCTATCAGATAAACCAAATATTATGACAACACCGGGTTCAGTTCCGGTGATACAGAACAATTTTGTGAAAGAAAGGTTGTTAACCAAGTGATCGCGATGTAAAGTACAGCATTCAATTTGGGTTGAAGTGAATTTGTAAAAGTAGTTGAGAGTATTCGGTCTATGTCCCTAATGGACTATTAGGTGTGGTATCCATACAAACGCATACAAATACAGACATTATTTACGTCTATTCTGTTTCCTTGAATTATGTGATTTTGTGACCTATAAAAGTGCTGTATTTAGCTAGTAAATGAGGCACCGAAAACGAACTTGTTTGCCAAATTGACTTCTTGATACATGATTACCACAATGTTTGAGTATCTGGACGGCAACCGAATGAAAGCCGAAATGTGAAATTTCATAGTGCTAAAATGTGTAAGATGCCTGCATTAAGCTCGCGAAAATGGGCTGTGCAATATCGGGTATTATGAAAAGGAAAAGGCTGTCTGAGCATCAGGCTGGTTGCCTAGCATACTTGCATTCGGCCTGTGAGGTACTGGTTTGATCCCTAGATGGGTCGATGGATTCACACTGCTGGTGAGACCCAACCAAGTCAAAACAACTGTCCAGTGCTTCCTAGCATTGCAGGTCACGTTTTATTCGCTGTTTACACGACGAAGTTCATCATATAATTCTCTTTAACCTCAACGAAGATAAATCGAAAAAAGCACAATTGTCCCCTCGACAAATGTATTGCGTCTCCACTCCCCCCCCTCCACCCCCCAATGAACATTATCTTCATCGAATCATAACGGTGTCTATATTATTCCAATCCGTAACACAACAACCCGTATAATTCATGTGTTGTGGTGTCAATCCTGGAGTAGGGAATACAATTGACGATGCGGCATTATCTTAGTTTAAAATGGCTTCAGGACGAACTTTCGATGCCGCTCCAATCGGAATCTCACACGCCATGTAGGATAGCGAGTTCGGTTGGACCATTGATTGGTATGTTTTAATCGTTAATCCGCTCACTGAAGTATCACTCCTCTTTTCACAGATCATGCTCGTAGTGGTTCCACCTAAACCAAATTTCTTTTCATCGCTAAAGTAGATGAAATTCCATTCGTTTTTCCAAGTTACATAAGTCTCATTTCACAATAAACGTTCTTCTGTTCACAATGTTGTTAAAGCTATGTGCCCTCTTCCATCACGACGAGACTGCACCTTGACGTGGTGTGATGGCTTGCGCGCCTCAATGACCCTGCGA